CAGGGAGCCTGATGTGGGACTCGATCCCGGGACTCCAGGATCATGACCTGAGCCGAAGGCAGTCGCTTAACCAACTGAGCCACCCAGGTGCCCCGATAATGTCAGTCTTACTTCACGTGGTCGTTGAGAAGATTAAATGAGTTAATACATGTAAAGAGCTTAGTACTGTACCTGATACAAAATAAATATCGCTATTACTAGGCCAACTTGGGCTTTTCCCCCCTCTGTGTGCATAAGAGGATATAGAAGCGGGTCTGAAGCCAAGCCTTTGTCTATTTCCCCTGGCAGCTGAATGCACTGTGATGGGTATCCCCAGCGTGACAACCAACCTTTCTGGCTTTGGCTGTTTCATGCAGGAGCACGTGGCTGATCCTACTGCTTACGGTGAGGTTTTTCATCATTCACCCAATGCAGGGAGAAGTAACCTCTAACCAAACACGGGATCTTTAGGGAGCCTAACTTTAAAGCTATCCTGATGATTAAAGTAATGTTTATACTTCTTGTTTAATTAAAAGTAGATTTAATTATGTGGTTCATAGATAGGATAAAAATGCTATTAATATTAAATATATTGATGTTATAGTAACTATGGCCTTAGAGTATATAGAGTAGTCAGCGTCATTATTTTAAAAAGTCTGTGCCGTTAGCAAAATTCACTTAAATTGTTGAAGATGGCAGAAGAATTTGCATACCACCATCTCTGTGTCTGTGTTGCCTAGCAGCAAGAAAAGCGAGATGGGATGGATTGTCTGCCTACACATTGCCAATTTCCTGGTCTTCTATGGTCTCCTCATCACGGTTCTCTTTCCTCAGGCTAGAGCTGTGGTTCTCAGGCAGGACTGCACGGTGGGAACACTGGGGAGCCTAAAAATCACTGATCCCCAGGTCTTACCCCAGAGATTGTGGTTAGTGAGCAGTCCCGGGGAGAACCACTGATCCAGGGTATCCCTCTACTGCCAAATTTTTTTAGCAAGATCCATCGTGTTGCATGTGTGTTGGTGACAGTTGTAAACCCTTAGGAGGAGATCACAGAAGAAATACAGCCTTGGAAGGGGAAAGATAAAACGGAGGCAGCAGGGGAGTCAGGGAGTGGGTACTGAGTGTGGTGGTTTGTGATGGAACATAAGGAATGGGAGAAGAAACATTCTAAGGTTAGCCCTATGTATACCCGTGCTTTGGCTTTTGTGCTCCTCAGGTATTTACATTGTTGACAGGAGATTCCGCTCTCTGGATGATTCCTGCAATCAGCTGACTCAGTTTCTCTATGGATTTTGCAAACAGTCACGCCGCCAAAGAATTATTCAGAGAAACCGAACTGAGAGGCTCTCCGATCTTCTGGATTGGAGATACTTGGGCAGAGTAAGTTAAGTTTGGGATGGAGAGAACCGCTTTAGAAATCCCACTAGACTGGGGCCCCTGGGTGGCTCAGTTGGTTGGGCATCTGACTGTTGATCTCAGTTCAGGTCTTGATCTTGGGGTCATGAGTTCGAGCCCTGCCTTTTGAGCTGTGCTGAGTGTGGAGGCTACTTTAAAAAAAAGAAGAAAGAAAGAAAATCCCACTGGGATATAAAAATATAGATTCTAGTCATCATCTGCAAAGTCAACCCTGTACCATAATTGTTGAAATCTCAAGCAATGTTTTCATGTACTTTTTTTACTTAAAATGAGCTGGCAAAATCCTACCCCCAAATTTTCATATTTAGTTTGAGCTTATAACAGCAAGTCTGTCAGGATCTAGCTGGGATCTTTCTAGTTAGTCTATTGTCAGTGTTTAACTTGATGCATTTCAGCTATTGGTTCATGAATATGAGGAAAACATCTAAAGAAACATTTCTATTTTGTTTTACTCTAAGCAATAATGTGACCATATTCCATAAATACAGTGGGAGTGGGAATAATATTGTTTTCAAATGACAAGTACAGGAAATACCTCCTTTCAACTATGCAATAGGTTTGTAAATACCCAGATGTCTATATATCTTAGTACTGGATGATTTAATAAAAAATAAGCTGACTTTACCTTCACATCCTGTATCTGCTTAGATGCCACTAAACTCTCCCTGACAAATGATAGATGCTGCCATTTGCCGAGTGGCTACACATACTAATGACAGTGCTCATCACAACCCTGAGTGATTCATTGTACTGTCTCTATTTTACAATGAAAGCAGAATGATAAGGCTCTTAGAAGTTATGTTTCTTTTTTTAAGATTTTATTTATTTATTTATTTGAGAGAGAGAGAGAATACGAGCAGGGGGAGGGGCAGAGGGAGAAGCAGACTCCCCGCTGAGCAGGGAGCCCGATGATGCGTGGCTCGATCCCGGGACTCCGGGATCATGATCTGAGCTGAAGGCAGATGCTCAACCCACTGAGCTGCTCAGGCGCCCCAGAAGTTATGTTTCTTATCTAAGGTCTCAAGCAGGACTTAGGTCCAGCTTGTCTGATTACTCAGGTACCCCCTTTTCCCCATATCATACTGCTTCTCTGTAGCATGAAGCCAGTGTTTTAGCACACAATTCAGAGTTTTCAGTAAGGCCAGTATGGCTTTTCCCTTCTACTTTTTGTAGTATTTCTTTACTTATTAACTGGAAAATAATAAAACTGTAAACCATCAGTTTTTTTTCTGATTCTTAAATTTAGGGTGAATAGGTTCTGCCACTTTACTAGGAGAATAAGATTTTATATAATAACATGGTTCTTGAGATATATAATATTTTTTAAACTGTGAATTGGTTTTTCTATCATAGTATTATCAGCATGCCAGGTACTTGACCTTAAGTAGAGCTTTTCCAGATAAATTCCATATGGAGCCTACATCACCACCAACGGTAAGTATTTTATGTATTATGTATTTATTTTGAAATCTAAATTTCTTGTGTATGGTAAGTCCTACCAATACTTTTTAATTTAGCATTAGTTAAGGATGGAAACTTTTATACTTTTTCATAATGTTGCCTTAAAGCAAGGAATAGAGGAACCGACAAGTCAGACCAAGTCAAAGCCCTTGATTCCGAGTTAGCCTTATTTAGCGGATGAGCCGATGGTCAGCTAATTCATGTAATTGGAGAAGCACTTCCACATTAAAACTCTCCCTGCCTTAGTACTTGAAACCTCTGTGTTAGACACCCATTCTCTCGGGAGCTGCTGAAAAATGAACTGGCCTGCTTTAACAGCAGGTGAATTTGCTATCCAAGGAAATGTTTAAATATCAGGTAACTACTTGGCAACAGTAACATAGAGTGAATTCAGGAACCACGGGAGGAATTGGACTGGATGAGTATTTATGTACCAGTCAGCAGTGCCCAGCAGGGAGTCTTCTTCTGAAGCTCTGTTAGACATTTACATTCATGAGGTGAGCATAGGCTACTTGCCATCACATTCACTTAGAAGGATATAAGATAGGAAACACAGCTTGAAGTAGGACAGCGTCAGACATTTCTCTGCAGCGGGATCAGTCCTTACAGCAGTCTACACAGCGGTCCCAAAGCACACCTCTTTGCCCGCCCCTGCCCCCTCCCCTTCCCCCCCCCCCACTGCCCACCAGGCGAAAGCTTACGTGCAAAAAGATGAGATCCCTATCATTAGGTATGAGATCTATCCTAGCTTAGTAGTTTCATGCCCCAGGGAGCCAAGATCTCATGTAAATCTCCACAGATCAGCAGCGTCCATGGCCTCCGCGAGGAATATGCACAAGTACGAGAGTCATCCAATTCAGGGATTCCCAAAAGCTGTAGATCCTCATCGAGTATTTATAAATCTCTGAGTTCAGATGTGATTTCCCAATCAGGAGTCCCTTTTACCATAATCAATTTTGCACAACTTATGTTCCATCTATATCAAGTGTCAAGGGAAACAGATCTCAAAAGTTAGCCCAAGGTAAAATTTGCTCATGCAGAAGGTGACAGGGTTTTGAAAACCCTTCAGAATACAAATTCCAACTTTCATGCTCAGGATTGTAACAGGATTAATGGCTTAGCTTGTTTAGAGGCAGTCGCTCGACTTGATATTAATTCAGCTATATTCATCCATTTATTCAAATGATTCAATTACTAAGTATTGAACTCCTACTTTGAGCCAGGTCCTAAGTGCATGAATCAGCTCCTTTTTTTTTTTTAATTTATTTTTTTTTATTGCTTTCAGGCCAAATATCTGAACGTTGAAATGATTGTATGGGTATGACGTGATAATAATGAACACAAGTAATTGAAATACAGAGTGACAAGTGCTGCAACTATTTTATACAGCTCTCTTCCCCAGTCAAACATGTGCTCTCTCGAAGGGCAAGAATCATGTTTTTCTTCTTTGTTTCCTCAGTGGCATTTTGGTGCCTGACCCATAATTGTGCTTCGCACTCATTGATCAAATGAGTTATCTCAGTGAATCTTAGGTAGAAAGGCAATTCGATTAAAACCTAGTGACATTTGCTCATGCACTGAAATAAAAGTAACTGGTGGAATTTCAGAGTCAACTAAGTGGCCTGGCTTCCAGGATTCTTTCCAATGGTGGTTGTCCATGGCATGTCCACGATACCCATGTTCTGTAATTTTGTTGAGCAAATCTGCAAAGTGACATAGGGACTGCCAATATGAGCAGTGTAACATGACAGTTGATATTAAAGGCTAGGGAGTGATCACAGCCCTGGTACAAATCTTTGCTCTACCACTTACATGCTGCATGACCTTGGGCAAGTCATCTGGTCTCTCTAACCCTCAATTTTCTCCTATAAATGGGAAAAACACATTTATTGGTGTTGTTACAAGGATTAAATAAGATTATATATATTTATACATACATAAATACATATGGCACCTGGCACATTTCAGTGCATAAGAAAAGAAAGCTATTTATTTAACGAATCTCTCTTGAATTTGGTGGTACCAGAATCAAAAGGAATCAAAAATAATAATAGCCCATGAACAGACCACAAAAAATATCCAACTATGTTTTGTATCAAATGCACATGCAAAGTGTTTATATCATTATAATGTTTGTGACTTATTTTTGTCTTTGGCAGACTGAAGGATTTAAATACCCCAGGCCTTCCTCAGTTCCACCTTCCCCTTCAGGGTCTCAGGTCTCTAGTCCTCAAAGCAGTGATGTGGAAGATGAAGAAGAGGATGAGCGATACAATGAGGAAGAGGAAGCTGAAAGGGATCGGTTAAATATCAAGTCGCCATTTTCTCTGGGCCGTCTTCCTCGTGGGAAGAAAAAGCTGCATGGTGAATACAAGAACTGAATTCCACGCGTGTCGGAACAGAGTAAGAGTGATTATCTAAAGAAATGAACATGCTACAAATTCCATTTTCTTCTTTTACGTGTTACAACGGGATTTATTCTCTGCCTACGAAGGGGAGAAGATTAAGTGAATGACAATTTGGAATTTCTAATAAAATCCAAGTTATTTTCCCCTACTCCTTTTCCCCAGTAAATTTAGGCAAGAGGAAGAATGTCCATTAAAGGAGGAAGACCAGAAATGTTTTTAAAATGTTAGCTTAAGCAATAAGAATTTTCATTTGCTAGTGTTTATTTTTAAATTATCATCACCATAATCCTGTGCTTAGTATTTATACAGCTGCTATATCTACCAAACAAGCCTCCCATTTTCCCTGTGAAGGATCCTGATCTGAGCCCTGAACGTGCACTACGTACATATTTTAAATAATTCTGTCTTCAGTGATTATGTTCATGTTTCACATGCTTCAGAACCATGAATTTCTATCTAGCTTTGCCCACAATCAAAATCCATAAGAAAAAAAAAGCTACCTTAAATCCAGATCCTGATACATATTAACGCATATTTACAAGGTCACTTCTCAACTTAATGATGGGAAAATGTTACCATCTGCGCTATACCATCTGACTGTAACAAAGTACAAACAAAAGAGCAAATGGAAATTCACAGACCTGCAAACACCTGGTTTTGAGTGGCATATTTCTACCCTGCACTCGCTCCTCCATTCAGACAGCTGCTGCCACTGGACTCTATCCCCTTGCTCCAGTCCTTTCTTCGTCCTTCCCCAAGACTGACAAAGCCGGGTGAGGAGCAACAGATAAGGATCGTTAGTAGATGACTCTGTTTCTAGCACAGTGCCTTATACACAGTAGCGGCAAAAATGAGTGGTCTCATTGGGAGAAATAGAGGTACATAAAGATGATGTTTTTAAAGAATGTACGTTTGCATAAGTTGGAGTATAGGAACTATAGAAAATAGTTAATGTGTGCCTGACCAGCCGACAGAAGACTTTTATGCATTGTCCCACCCTGCCTTCCATGTTAAGAGTTAGGGTGAACAGAGCTGGTTTTACATATACTGATGAGAAGATAAAATGTTACAAGTGCTCTGCTAATAGTTTCCCAGGGCACAAGGAGGACTCAGGAGAGGGACTGGTCAAAGGCACTTGGGGAGGTCCAAAGGGTGAGGATACACTTCTGTGAAGTCATGTGGGGGATACAAGTGAGGGCTTCACATGGTGGTTATAAGGATCAGATCATATTCTAAATAAACTCTTACTAAAGGAATTCATAGTCCAGTAGGAGGAGACCAACTGGTTACATTCCCAACTTCCCTTTCTCCTGAGGCTGAAGCAAAACAATGTAACTCAAGGTGGATAGGATATAGACTTTCATTTCTCCTAACCAGATAAAGGGGAAATGTTAGTTGGAGGCTGATTTTTTTTTAAAAGATTTTATTTATTTATCTGAGAGAGAGAGAACGGGAGACAGAGAGTATGAAAGGGGGAGGATCAGAGGGAGAAGCAGACTCCCCGCCGAGCAGGGAGCCCGACGTGGGACTCGATCCCGGGACTCCAGGATCATGAACCGAGCCGAAGGCAGTCGCCCAACCACCTGAGCCACCCAGGTGCCCCTGGAGGCTGATTTTTAACGGGCGGGGGCCTCTGCTTTCTCTCCTCTCTTGGGGTCATAATGGTGCTGTCAGGGGAGAGGAGGTATCCACTGGGGAAACCCAGGGAAACAAAGAGTAATTGAGAGCCCAAGGTGGAAGGCAGATAGCCACAGGGAAGGAAGGATTCCCACCCAAAGAGGGGAAGAGCTACAGGAGCTGTGCTCAAAGGGGCTGCAAGTCCCACCTGAGGTAGCGATATTCAAGTACATGGGTTTGCCTGGCGGGGGCGTATTTCCCAGTTTTAAAATACAAGCCATACAATGTGACCATCTTTTGTTCATTTCAATTTTGAAAAAGATGGAAATAAAGAGAATTGCAAAGATATCCCAAGAGAGACAATGTTATAGCAGCCGGGCAAAGGGGACTGTATGCAACTACTATGCTTTTTTTGTTGTTGCTGTTTTAGGATTTTTTTTTATTATTATTTGAGAGAGAGGAGAGAGAGAAAGAATGAGTGGGGGGAGAGGCAGAGGGAGAGGGAGAAGCAGACTCCCCACTGAGCACGGAGCCAGATATGGGACTCGATTACAGGACCTGAGACCATGACCTGAGTCGAAGGCAGATGCTTAACCAACGGAGCCACCCAGGTGGCCTGCAACTCCTATGTTAATCAGCACATCTGTATGGCAGAACAACATTCAAGGAATTCAAGCACCTATAATACTTGGTATTATATACAATACTAATAGTCTTCCAATATGATACTGAATTATTTTAATAGTTGTTGGCCATTTAGAAGGTTTTTAAAAACTCTGTTTTAGTGTGAAAGACTTGAGATTGTTCTATTTAGTTGTGGGAAGAATTGTTTCATGTGTTGGGGTTTTTTAAACAGTCTTGGAATAAGCATAATGTTTAAATAGCCAGTATGTACACCTCTATGTCAGAGGAGTAAAATCTCAATAAACTGGACATATGCACTATCTAGAAAATCCACTTAAATCAAATCATAATAAATGACAAGTGCCTATTATGATACCACATATTTTTTAATGCTAGCATATTATTTTTTGGAAGAGATCAGTGTGACAATGACTTGAATATAGTTTCATTATTCAATTACGATACAAGATACAGACAAATCTTACAAGCAGGGTTTTGACTTCATAACACAGTGAAATTGTAACTCCTAGGTACAGATACATTCCCATAAAGATATTCTTTAATAATGGCTATATACTGATGACAGTAAGAATTAACAATACTTTCCACTTATGACATTTATCAATAACAACTCTCAACTAACTAGGTCAAAAAAATTAACATGTTGATCATATTGTAACTCCAAATAAATAGGTTATTATGCTCACTGTGTGTGTGTGTGTGTGTATTTTTTCAGATAGTTTTAAAAGTCTTAGAAGGAGCAGATGAGGCATATCACCGAGTACTGATGTTATCGGGGTGCCTTTATCTAACGTTTTAATGTAAAATAAAGCCTAGAGCTCTAGTCAATTAGAGTAAGCAGAGTCTTTGTGTCTGTTTAGCTGTGGAACATGAGTTACCTCTGAAAAACTGGTTTGTTCCTTTTGTACAATGTACAGAAGAGCAGAGTGTGTCTCCATCTGCTTATTTCCCAGTAACCCCCTGAATTCAGGGAGATCCCCAAAGAGCATAAAGGGGAGCGCCCCACTATGGAACCTTCTACCAGCCTCACAGATCCACCCTCTCCCTCCTTCAGCAACTACAGTGAAGTGTTCTTATCACGGGCTTCTTCCCAGTCACCTCCCTCCCTCTTCCCTTCTTAACAACTTCCGTCTCCAAGAGGAACTGCTAAGAGAACACACTCTACTCTTTCCCATCTTGCCATGCTTCTCCCCTCACCCCCGATGGAGATGGGAAAAAGGCAGAAAAGGAGAGGGAGATTCGCTGCTGAGTGCAAGACAATGCAAGGGGTAAAGGAATGAAAAAGCCAACAACTAAGACTCACTAGATCAAGATGGATACTTGCTGTAACAAAAAGAAAACACACTCTAAAGAGTCTCTAGCCTTATAATTACAAATGGGAGTAAGACACAAGGTGACCTAAACAGGACCTGAAGCAATGAAAGAAGGCCATGATGTCCCCAGCTAAGAACCCTACATTACCTTTACTTCTGGAAAGAATAAAATTGGTTATGCATGTTCCTAACATTACAATGGAATTAAAAAGGGTCCAAGGACTTTATTTACATGCTTTATGTTTTCAGCAGGAATGGAACTGTATTCGAATGTAAGTTGGTCTATTTTCACCAGTTTAGTAGACTGTCTTCTAGGACTCTCGTTTGATCAAAGTTTTCTTCTCCAGCTGTAAGGAAAAAAAGGTGCATAAAATAAACACACTTCTCTGTGTTTTAAAAGGGGAAAAGATAAGATGAAGAGAACTTCAAGAAATAAACATTTAGTTTCCTAAATTATGTTAACTACTGCACTTTGCTACTGAGAATCCAAAAAAGTGTTTCGATTGATTTGGTTTAAAAATCTTCCTCCTCAGCTCAAGACACATAGGGGAACTCACATTTCACATCTGATTCTCCAGAATGAATGAAACTATAACGTGGTATGTTTGGTAGAAATCTGAAAAGGCCGTATGTCTTGCTCTCAGTGTGTCTCATTATATCTTAAATATCCACCATTAGAACCGTTCAGGTTCATCAAGGTACGGCCTCCATGTTTCCTGTGAACAATGCATGTTACTTGGAAAAGATGACACTGGAACACTTTTGCACATATTCTCTTATTAGCTGAGCTAGACTAGGCCTGGGGAACAAATGAGACAAAAGGAAGGGATACTTGTGAGCTGCATGGGATTGGAAAACTTTAGAGCATGAGGTATCCCTTCCGGGACAAAGTGGCTAAGGAGTCAGATGATAGCAGGTTCTTGGGACTGTAACAATGGGTAGAAGAGCTAAAACCTACCAAAGGTAGGGAGAGGGAGTTGCCAGAGGAAAATGCCTCTCCTAACTTTCTCTAATGTTATCTTTAGATAAAACCACATTCCTTTAGTTAGTTACAATATAATTTGAATGTCTGAGTTACATTTTAACCTGAATTACTAGCACATTTTAGAATATGACAGATGATGGGCTGCTCTTTAAAGGAAAAAAAAAACTCAATAAGAAGGGCATCCTTGGACATTGGTCACTAAAATAAAAACTCACTATATAAAATAAGAGCCTACCAAATAATGCTTAGGGACTTTAGAATGAAAATGTTAAAGGTGGCTAGTAATGAATATATCATATGGAAATTAAACACTTTTCCATCAATTTAAACGAGTAAGATTCTGTTTCCTTATTTCATCAGCAGAAACAAGCTGCTCTGGACACTTCAGTGATTAAAAAATTACATTTCTTTTCCACAAAAAGACTTGAAATTGGGACCTATAATCACACACTCTTCCCTAAAGTTTCTTTTTTTTTAATTTAAATTTTAGTTAGTTAACATATAGTGCAACATTGGTTTTCTGGAGCCTTCCCTAAAGTGGCTAATGAAAATCCTTCTTCCCCTCTTTAAAATTAGCTCCTCCCTTTCCATTCTAGCTCACTTTTTTTTTTCCCCTAACTCCACACATCTTCCCAGCAACTAAACCTAAAATTTCTCTTCCGATCCATCTTCACCAGCACTCTCCTTCTACGAATTTCAACAAACAGTAGGGGTGCCAAATGTTGAATTTAGAAAAGAGTGCCTTGGCTGTGGCATCCTCCACCCATTACCAACTATTTCTCACCTTTTCATTGCAAGAGTTCTGAGAGCCATGCTAGCTAGTACTCCCTTTCTTCTTGTCCCAAATTCCCTCTCAACAAGGCTTCAGAAGGGGCATGGCAGGAACAAATAGTATCACTGAGCAGGAGCTGAGCGGAAATCCTGTGAACTGCTCTTCAATGACCCCTCGTAGCCAACATGATCTTCCTTTCCTGCTGATTTCTGTTCTCTCATTAACCATTAGGCTACATGTGATGCTTTTTTTTTTTTTT